GGATAATGGTTTTGGAAGTACTTAATTACATGCAAGCACAGAAAACCTTGATTACAAAGCCGTATTAAAATCCATTTAGCAATGGTGTTGTTAATCATGAAATTACATTTAGACTATTTGCTAAGTACACTCGCATGATCAAAGACAAATAAAAGTAGTAAATTAAATTAAAATAAATAAATACGTACATTAGGGCGGAGCAATTTAATTTCGAAAAAAAGTGTATGTTATATTCGAATTCTGCGTTCGATCTAAGCAAAAATGATGAAAAAACTATACACTAAAAATGACCTTCCCAATTGTTAATTTACAACATTTTGTGTTTTCTTCGTATTTAAGAAACTACTTGACAACACCGAGACAAAAAAAATTCGGCTAAAAAAGTTACAATATACCGAGGTTGTTCACACTTACCGAAGTGTTTTTGCCAACAAAAATATTATAAGTGAAAATTTTTTTGTGGTATACGGGAAGGTTTAGAGCAATACTAATGAGAACAAAATAATGGAAATTTGAATTTGGGTTAATGTCATAATGTCAGTTTGATAGGGCCATCAAAGTCAGCCGATTTCCGCACATTGTCATGCGTGGAGAGCACAATCTAAAAAAAAAAAACTTTGAAGAGAAAATAATGAAGTTTTTAAAATGTGATATAAACGCAAACTAAAGGTTGGATTAGCTTTAAAACAATTGTATATGTGCGTTCGGGACGTTACGTTATGGACGTTACTCTTTTTTCCGTTGAAACAAATGATTTTTTTAAAGCTATATTGTTGTATTTTATTAAAAGATATAGTGCTTAAAACCAATGCTATTTAGAGCATTGTTTCCAAAAGTAAGAGGGGCAAATCAGGTTTCTCAAATAAATGTGAATAGAAATATGAAATAAACTAACAAGTTATTTTTAAGCAAAAAACAAAACCGACTTCAATTCTCATATAAAAATTTAAGATTCTCATTATTATATTCATGATAAAATGATCGGATTTAAACCAACCTCTGACGTAATACCTTTCGTTTAAAAAAAGAATTATAGAAATCGGTTAATCGGAGGTCCAAAGTTATGCGGTAACATACATAAAAAAAAATATTCCGACGAACTGACCTTGAACCGTCTCCTCTTTGTGAAATCGGTTAATAAGAACATGTTGTACAACATATGCCTTTTTTGACACAAAATTGAGAGAATTCGAATTGCATGCATTTGTTGAGATTTTGGTTGACTATTTCTCGGATTCGCCCACATATGTCTATACATACATATTTAATTTTTTTGTAATAATTTTTTTTTTCAGTTCTTCACGCTACTATGAAAAGGCAGTTATGCAGAAATATGCGTCAAGCGATTATCTTTAATAAACTGCAAAAAAAAAAATGTTGTCCCTTTCAATACTTTTCGAGAAATTAATTTTTTTTGTTCGTTTCCAGAATTTTAAACAGAAGTCGCAGAAAATGCAAATTCCACCCGCCAGCCAACTCAGCAATCGTTTAAAATTCCAAAAACCCACCGAAAACAATTTCTCTTCATCAGTAAGTAAAACGGAATTTACAAATGATAACAGAAC